TTGTTTTCTTTTAAAGAGAGGATACTTTTGTATGCAAATAAAAATGATATGCAAACCGGAGCTCTTAAAAGAAAATTAAAATTGGTCATAATAATTAATTTATATATTTATTTCTTAAGATTTCGATTTATTCTACTTTCCTTTGCATAGAATACTGAAATAAATTTAGTACAACCAACTTTGTCTCATTAAAAATTCACCGAAAATGATAGTTTTTTCTTTGGCTTTTGTCATCTTTGCCAGTGGCTCACTCTAACGTAACTAGACGTTTTGTTTTGTTTACTTGTGTAAAGAGCCTTTATTAGGACTATGATCGACTCCAATTTCAAGTTCTTGTACACCGTTTATTGATACTCAACTTGCAACAACAGGCTAATTGCATTTGGTAGAAGTTCTTCAAATTATATATGTTTTTCAGAGAGCAGGCCTTGGTCAAAGTACTTTTTCTTAACGTTGTTATTCTAACAGTAAAAAAAGAAAAAAATCCTTCTTGAAAAGAGAGTTTTCATTTTTGTTGAAATGCTTTGAGGTCTCTAAAACTGACTCTAATATAAAACTATATTTTGCCTAAGTTTAAAATCTGTATCAAGTTTGAATCTCTTATACCTCTTATTGTTAAAGAGAAGTCTGTAATTTTCCTGAAAGCTGTAAGAGTTGACCAACATTAGCGGAGTATTAAATGTAAAATTTCGTTTCAAATTCAGCTACTTATACTCATTTTTTCCAAATGTTCATTAATTTTCCTACGAATAGTAAAAGATAACCAATATTATTAGATTACTAAAAAGTAAAATTTCACATTAAGTTCAAGTTCTAATTTATGTCTAATCTTGAATATTCATTGTTGAAAACAGCTTTCTTGTCTAGGAGGTCACTACAGCTCTTTTTTCTATAAAGGAATTGTGATAAATCGCATTGATTAGCAGAAAGTAAGTATGAGACCATGTAATAATGTTTAAGATTATTTAATTTAGTCAGAAAACGCAAAGGTATCTGCTTATAATCTATCGCAGTTCTGGCTGACAGCCCCCCCCCCAAGAGGATGGAGTCCGAGAATTTCGTACCCCTCTTTCCTTAACATCAATCCTTGGGAAGAATTCAATAATTAACAGGTTTAAAGGTCATACCTTGCGAATTCTCGTACAGGTGGGAAGATGAACACAACAGGGAAAAGGTGTAAAAGGTCCCTTTATTTATCACAAATTGTTTAACAGACAGCACGGACTTAGAACGGACACATAAAAGTAGTTCAATAATAAATTTAAAAGGTAAGATAAATTTAAAAGGTAAGATAAATTTAAAATAGGTAAGATAATTTTAAAAGGTAAAAATAAATTAAAAAGATGTAGTGCTACTCTACACAATTAAATTTAATCTAACTGGCTAACTCAGAAGCCTACACCGGCGATATACTAACTAGACGGCCATAATGTGTAGCCGCTACTAAGGTTAACAGCTTGAGAACAAAATAGCAAACGTGCGCTTCACTCTGTCTAACATTTTCGTCCCAAAAGTTTAAATACTCTCTTTCACCTACTTCATTTATATCCAGGCTATGAAATTCGAGGGAAAATAAGAGAATTCAGAAGAGATTCACAAATTAAAATAACTGTTAGTAAAACGAAATGGGACCCTATACAGCTACCAGTATTCGGATCGGTGGCTGACGTATCAATAACTTTTCAGAAAATACCGATCATATCAATACTTCTGTCAGCATTCCTTATTTAAAAAGATGACAAGTTGTCTTCTGGCAATTTAGCTAGAAGACTGGAAACACAGGGTGAGGGACTTAATAAGTGAAGTTTTGTCGAAAATTACAGAAATGCTTTTTATTCACCCTACATTTAAGAGCAATATGGTAAGTTTGCCACCTGCCCTAGAGGTTTAGATGTAACGGTGACGGTAAGTGTCAGCATTCCTTATTTAAAAAGATGACAAGTTGCCTTCTGGCAATTTAGCTAGAAGACTGGAAACACAGGATGAGGGACTTAAGTGAATTTTTGCCGAAAATTACGGAAATGCTTTTTATTCACCCTACATTTAAGAGCAATATGGTAAGTTTGCCATCTGCCCTAGAGGTTTAGATGTAACGATGACGGCCAGTGCTGCTGCGTGTGAGGAATGATGGGCAATTCAGGCCATTACATGTTTGAAAATGAATGTGCCAATATCCTCGAGAAGGCCGCCATATCTGAAATAGGAAACATGGGCTGGACAATAGCACTATAATAAACGATCACTACTTTAGAGTTGTTATTGAACCCCAATGTCGCTTATTTTGTGATGTAGTCGCAACACTATTCTTTTCTGGATGTTCTTGCCACTCTTCATGGACCAAAGTAATAGAGAATCTATTGAAATGTAAATATACATGTAGAATCGGCTGGTCGATCATGCTTCCCAAATCTCCCTAGAAAGGCAATTCCGTTCCTCTTGGAAAACAACATACCACACATACAATTAGACTTATAAGGTTTGGTTAATTTATTTGCCCTTATTTAAGTAATTTTACCTTGTTCAGATGAATTATTGTAATCACAAAATAACAAATATATAAGTGAACTTGTGAATCTATCTCTTTAAGTGAAATAATACACGATGCCAAAACTCAAATAAGTCTTTATTTGTTAAAAATTTTAAGCTGCAATTAAACCTCCAGATCAACGAAACTATCCACTGTTCTTACGAAGTTCAAATGAACGCGAAATGTTTAAGTTAAAAGAACATAATCAGACTCATGTGAAAAGCATTAGGCTCCACAATATACCTTTGCATTAATTCTAATTTGTGAACACATAAATGAAATAACTAACCAACACTCAATCGGGTATCAACTCAATCGAGCTCCGGATGCACAGCTTATGGTTCTTGACACACAGGATAATTAGTTATCTTAATGTTGGTAATGAATATTCTCTTAATTAATTGCACTCACTACTTAAAAATAATATAATTTGCATTCTGAAAAATTCTGGTCGACTGAAAAATATAAAGAAAGAATTAATATAAAATACTTGGCTAATTAAATAAACCTTACAAAGCAACCTAGAAAATGATTACTAGATCCGGCTGCTGAATTCTAGCTTATTTGTCATGCTTCCCTGATAGCACCTTCGGATTGTTATCTTTACTTAGCAGCAGGCAACAATTTGCGACTGTGATGATGTTAAAATCGGCAAGATATCGAAAGGAAGTTGAAGTACTTTCTTTATGCTAGACAAGATAACGTGTACAAAAATATAATAAAAACATTTATTAAATAATTGGAGGAGAGGTAATAGAAACCGAAAGTGACTGCTATACCCAAGAAAATATTATATTATGAACGTAGTTTGTCATTTATTTCAATAGAAAAAAATAATGCAAACTTTCCTATTTCCCTATATTTCAAAAATATATCGAAAACGTATTTTATATAGCATGTGTGCAATTGTCAGCAGATAATAAAATAATTTACGAAACTTTCCTCCGATTCATTATTAATGTTGTTCGAATAAAGGCTAATAACACACTATATTCTGTTACTTTAGAATAGGCACTTCAAGGTCATACCTCCAAACCATGCCTCATAACCAAGGCCATGATTGCGGAGGAAAAAAGGTCAAGAAATCGTGATACATGCCAGCAGAATAAGCTAAATAATATTTCTAATTAATTACCGGCTCCTATATCACCATGTCAAAAGCGCGAAAATGTTTATGAAAAAAAAAATAAATTTTGAATTAAAATAATAAGACTTTCGTATTTTTGAATAATGTGATTATTTATAAGCTTAAATTAATAGTTACTGTTGCTTTTAGTATGTGTTCAGCGTAGTGTGTCCCTATGCTATAAAAGTTTTAAGTTTCTGTACGATGAACTAAATGTTTCTCTTTTCAGATAAAAAAACAAGCGTTTTGTTATGGTTTCTATCACCCGTCCCTTCGATTGTAGTTGTCAGATGTTTTTAGAACAGCAAGCTAGAAAAAAAGAAGATGTAGTGATTTTTACAATAAATGGGGTAACTACATTTGAGTGAAGGATAATGTGATGATTTGAGGTAAAAAAGAAGGTTAGAATAAGGATTTTTCTTTTACTCTCAACATGCACAATCTTTCCTGGAAAGAAAAAAAGGGAAAATAGACACGACAAAGAGCACTGAGGAGAATTCAAAACTGCGGGTATGAAAATTATTTTAAAATAAGCTGTCAACTTAATGAGATTTTTACTCAAAAATAATAACTTAGTTATTTTTCTTACAGAATTTAACACACGAAGATCAAACCTACCCTTAAATCATTTAATTAATTCATTCGATAAGAACTGGATTCTCAGACAGCTTTTCTTGTTTGCCAGTGCACGTTAAATTTATATATTTTCATTGTGACGTTCAGTCACATTTGAAGTGCATCACCAACGCAGTTAGTTGTCAAGATATTTTTTTTTAAAATTTTATTATTTAAAATGGATTATTTGTTCGGAAAGTAGAATTTCCACAGTTATATGCATGAACGGGACTACTTGCATTTTGTTTATTGTACTTTGAAAATTAATGCATGGCGCTCAGTATGAAATTTTTAAAATTATAATACACATAATGTAATTTAAAAAAAAATTAGGCTGTTGAGAATCGTGTCGTGGTTTGATTTCTGTTTCAAAAAATAATTAAGTACTTTTTAAAAATAAAGCTATGCTTTGTTATAAAGCCAGACACATTTAAGAGACTAAACAGTCGTTGGCTATGCCGTATATAGACGCTTTGCTTTAATAAATTAATCTAATTTAATCTACCTAAATAATGAAGTTATTTCTTATGGCACTATGATAATAATTAGGAGACAATAGCAAAAAGTATTTGTTGAAGATATGACACAAGTTATTTTATCTTTGGAAAAGCAGCTCTATATTTGTTATCAATGCCAAACAAAGGTTGAGATTTACCAATTACTTATTTTCATCTCGACCTTATACATTTTTATCTGTTATTTTCCTGTCTACTTGCTTTTGAGAGATTGCTTTGTTGTTTGTGTGCAGAATTAGGTTTACCAACTCTTCACCGCTTTAAAGCAGCTTTCGGTAAAGATTGGGTCTCTCATGTCACTTAGATTTCTTCTACTTCTGTGTAAGTTTTCGTTTTTGATTTAACATTCCTTTTCATCTTAAAATTTTGTAATATCTTACTTTATTATTACTGCTATTATTCTTATTGCCCTAATAATTGTTCTATTCTATATTCCTCTGTTTGTTTGCTTAATATATTTTCACAAACCTTTTTTAATGAAACAATTCTTTAAAAATGCAAAAGACTTTAATTATCTGAAATTTTTTTTAAACGTCAGTGGCATTAAACCATATCCAGCTTTATCCATGCAAGGGAGCTCTTTCAAATTAAGTCGTTAAAAACCTCCTAAAATTCAAATTCAAGCTTTTTCATTTCCTCTCAGATTTACTCTCAGAAATGAGAGATCACATTTATCTCTAGAAATGAGTTGAGCTTTTTATTAATAACACATAAAATCAAAATTTTGCCAGTTACTTACTTTAGCTAGGCATGCTACGTTTGCTTCCGTTAATTAGAAGTAAACCATAATCAAAATGTTCTCCATTATCTTTCCCTTTACCCTTAATTCACAATTTGAAATACTGAAGCTCATATTTTATAACTGTTTCCATAAATTTTAATAACAAGGTAATCACTGAAAATCCTTTCTGTTCGATTATCTGTAGTTGAGTTAGGCAAGAGTAAAATTTAGATAATATCAATAATATTCTCACCTTTCCTTAGTGTGTGTGTGTATTTAATTATGGCAAAGCACACTAGGGCTATCTGCCTAAGAGGAGGGATGCCTTCGTGGAGGACTTTCTAAGGGAAAATGGCTCGTACACACTTTACACATGGGGAAAACCACGAAAACGCCCATGCAGCCAGCCCGTTCGCGGGATTCGAACCTCGGACCGAACTACCAGTGTTCAGCGACTTTACCGCTCGGCCGTTGGTGAGTCCACCTTTCCTTAGTAATTATTCTTTTGAGCTCTAAAATTTTAAATACAGAACTGAAATATTTATAGATAATGCATACTCTTAAAATTTCTCCATAGTTATCTTCAAAATATCGCTATATTTATAACTGATTTTTGCTTCAAATTCTCTCTATTATGGGATTAAATGTAAAGTTTTGGTTATATTTTCACAAAATTTTCACAAAATTTTTATTCTCAGCTTATATAGGAAATCTTTCAGAATTCTTCTGGTCTTGATGTATAGAAGAAATCAAAAGACTTTTAGTTGTTAAGAAAACAAAAAGACTTTTGGTGGGATGATTTCAGGTTATATTTTCACAGAATTTTTACAGAATTTTTATATGTCTCTGCTACATGAAATCTTTCAGAATTCTGCTGACCTGGATGTGTAGAAAAAATAAGACTTCCTCTTTTGTCTTCATAACATTTCATTACGTTAGACGTTTTGATTATGCTATTTTGATTGATTCAGCTCAATAATTTCAATGCTTGAGAAATGATTGCACTATCAACTTGTTGATTAATATAGTTTAATCGCAGTTACCGTTTGCTGGCCTCGGAAAATAAACAAGTTGCTTAACATTTCTGAAGAATTTATTTTTCTGGTCTGAAATACATCCCTTTTTTCTCGGGAAAAGAGGGATGGGTTTGAGGTTACTGCAGTTTGCACATTCTTTCCAAATATCGCGAAAACGGAAAATTATATGTAAAATTGTAATGCCAAGCTGGTACTGGTTTTGGCGACTAATTTTTTTGCCCAAAATTGACGAGAAATCCCCAAACGTCGCCAAGTTTGAAGACCATTCCGCGACATTTGGATTCAGTTCCTGTATAGCTGTAGCTGGTGGGATCCTTATATGTAACTGTCACTGTAGCTAACCCTATGTGTAACTGTAACCGTATATGCTTTCCAGAAATTTCGAGAAAGCGAAGGTACTAGAAATTTCTCGGTGGACGGAGGAAAACTAAGATCGAAGAGAGTATCAGTTCAGAAGTGTGGTTAGAATTCTTAAAAATCTCTGTGCGAGCTTCCCTCTTTAGATGCGCTTTGCATTGCGTTGTTAAACGTTCCTTTTAGTTTGGTGTGGTAACTGCTGATTGTGTTCTATCATACTAATAAATACTGTACGCGAGCTTTTTTGAAAAGTTCCATAACTGTAAAAAATGTTTCTTCTTGGAAAATAAATTCTCTCAAGTTACCATCGGTTCTGTGTGCATTCAGTCCTTTATGAACAAGTAGGCAAATAACAATATCGACCATAATTTCTGGGCCATATCGTGAATTTGGACACGAATTCTTTCTGTGTATCAGACAGACAGAAAATATATATCAAGTTTTCAAAAGAGAAAGCTTAAGAGGAATTTGATGGGGGGGGGAACCTCACGGCAGGGAGGCGCATTAAGTAAAAGTTTGAGGAAAACACAACATAACACTGATTGCTAGTAAATAAAATGATAGTATGAGGAAGAAAGAAAAGACAATAGCGAATTGAAACTAACTGATTCTGGCGAAAATTCATCAACTTTAAAGAACAAGGAAGTAACAGAAGACAGTGTTGTGAATATGACACGACCTATTGAGTAAAACATTTAGGTGAGATTGTAAACACAGAGAGTAGAAATGACTTCAAACTCAGCCATGTGTTACAAAAATTATATGGATTGGTTTCCAATTATTCGACTGGTATCCAATTCCATGAACTAGAAGAAAAATTGAAAAAAAAAGTAATTCTTTTAAATGCATAACCAATTCAGAAATCTGGGAACTTGGCTAGACATTGTAAATAATTGTTTAAAAATTAGATTTGTTAAGCAATGTCTCATAGACATTAGTGATAAAAACTTCATCTTTCCCAGATAATGGAGCAAGACTTTGCTTTAATTCTATCACTGCTTTCATCTTCATCCAAGTGAGAGGCTCATCAACAGCGGAGCGGTAAAGTCGTTGAACATTGGTAGTTCGACCCAGGTTTGAATCCCGGCGAACGGGTTGATTGCCTGGTCATTTTCGTGGTTTTTCCCTGTTTAACTTGGATACGAGCCGATTTCCAATCGAAAGTCCTTCTTGAAGGCGCCCGTTCCCTTAAGCAGATAGCCCACGTGTGCTTTGCCATACTCAAATAAACCAAGCCAAATAAACCAGTCGTCCAAGTAACAGGTGGTGAAGAGTTATTGGCTAGCATAGTTACCAAAAAAAAAAAAAAAAAGGGGGACCCTTGCGTATTGCATTGTTGGAAATTATTCAACTCTAATTGTGGTTCTCATGTACAGAGACTGGAAAGGATTCTGTAAGATTCTTTCCAGTGGTAGAGTTATCGAACCACATATCCAAAGGGAAAGATTGCCTCTAGATATCTATAAATTCAATAGATCAAGTAATACAAACTCAAGCTGAGTTGGAGGAGAGACATCGAGGTTAGTGCTAGAACGATTGTTCTCTATAAGTATGCTCCTAGCGAAAAGAAGTTTTCGTTATAGGGGCAACCAAAATAACCTGTAAGGATCTTAAGTTTTACTAACGTTTATTTTATTTTAAATCTTTACTATCACTTCTTATTTTCTACTTCCGGCCAGAATTAAAAGCGTTAACTTATTTATGCAAAATTTGTCTGGCGAACGCCAAGTACTTAAGTTGTGGCTTTTTGCCAAGCGAGAGAGAGGAAGGAGTTAGTCGAAGCAGGCCGCTTGCCTTAGAAGTTTTACTCGGTTGCTGGTTGCCTTCCAGGCCAGAGGTTTAATCCTCGTGATAATTTTAAACGTATTGTAGTGTTAACAGTTTTCTGTACTACATACGGCTTCCTGTTAATATACGGCCAATCTTCCTTGTTTATCATTCCAAAGTTAAGTTAGAGTTTAGTTAAATATTTTTATATTCTTACGTTCAGACCACAAGTAGTTGGTCTCTGTATTCCAAAGTACGGAAATTATTGTAAAGAGTGAAAAATAAAGGGTTTTGTATACCCTTCCTGTGTATCTTGTCTACTTCCCACAGTTATTGAACATAGCTTTAGTAAGCTCCCTGTTCCGAGTCAGGTCCTTGCATGTTCCCAAAGAAAGTAAGGCGGAACATTGAACCTGATAAACCTACAAAAGGGAACTTTCTAAGGCAAGGTGAGTTTCTGGTCAACTACAATGCTGTATTGAGTAAGTATATTTGATAAGCAGTGAATCCTGGAAAACTGGTTACATCCCTCAACAAAGACATTCATTATGAAGCAATTACGTTATAATGTTAAAATTATCTCTGTTGTGAAAATTATTGTCATCAAAAGCAAATATTATTCAATAGTTCCAGATTGAACACCAGACGTAAGTTGTAGAGTTGACGTGTAAATTTAAGAGCGTAGATGGTAGAAGAAAATTTTTTGGATTTTATGAAATTAGAAATACTACTGGAAAAAACCTCATCTGAATTACTGCTCCATGTGTTATCTGACTTTTAGATAACTCTCTCAGGCTTGTGTGGCTGGTTATGTGATAAAGGATGCAATATGAAAGTGGGAAAAGTGGGACACAAGCATATATTCATCAAGAACTCTTGACATGCCTTGTTTCTTCTCATAAGGAATTTGGTTCTTAATAATACAGTTAAATCTCTTGTAATTGTACTGTTCCTTTGATGTAGTGCAAAGATTGTTTCCATTACTTTCTGTATTTGTGAAACGTGGGAAATGTTATCTAGTCGTACGCAACTGCTGCTGAAACCACTCTGCGAAACAAACAGAGGGAAATAACTGAAAATATTAAAGATATTAAAACTTAAAAATATAAAGTGTGCGTTAGAAGAGCTGAAAGAAAATTTACTATATTGTGGAGACAGCTAGTCTATTGAAAGAGATCATAATATTTAAATTTTCATTGTGCCTTGTAATCTGGTGCAGTGTCCTTATTCATGTCAGTAACATTAACCCTGCTTTCCAACAGGAAGACATGTAGTTTAATATTATAGTGAAACTTATAAATACAACGCTGTGTATTATTGAAGAGTTTCGGAAAAGTAGATATAAAAGTAGAGGGAAGTATGCTTTTAGACGGAGTTGTTTACTCTATATTATTATACCACATGTAGAATAGCAAGAAGACTGGTTTCTTATGAAAGCA